AGAAACTACGAATTCATGAATTTGTATTATTATCTTTCCTAATTTTTCTGACATTTAGTTTATTTTTACTTTGATGCTATTGAGCTGTAATCTATCAATATTATTGATTCGATGTTATTTAAACAGCATTAATGTTGTTCATAATACTAATTCATTCATTCACTATAATGTATATATAACTGTAGAGCCTAATGATGAAGTTATCGAAAAGAGTACACTCTTTGTTCAGTAACCATTCTTTTGGAAACAGTTTTAATGGGCATTTTTAATCAGTTAAAAATCAATCAATCAGTATATGCACACAATAATAATATGTATAGCAATAATAAACACTTTATGGCGAACAGTAATAATTATACACAATGGAAACTTCCGGCATTACGTGGTCAGGTGAAAGAGAGAGTGAAAACATCCAGTTACCAGGTAGAGCAAGGAAAGACTGATAACCACTTCTTTATATACGCATAAATTGGGTTTCATGCACTTGATGCAGATTGCTTTGGTAAACTTAAAGAGAATTGAATTCTTTTGCCGATCGATAATTTTGAACGATTTTGTGACGTTCACCTCATTTGTTCCCTTTAGACATAGGCTTTTTGGTACATGTTCAGAAAATCGGAGATATACCTTTCTTTCTGTTCTTCGAATGTAACTGCTCCCGCAGATACATGTATTCACATGTAAATGCGATAGCAAGTACGTTGGAAGCACTGAGAAATGGTTATCAACAAGGATTTTTAAACCTGTACCCAAAAGTCTACGTCTTAGAGGTTCAACAGCATTTAACAGAGCTATAGCTCGGCACCTAGTTGATACAGGACACTAAATCAACCCCTTTAAGGTGTTGAACAGGCAGAACACTTCAAGAGTACTTCGAATTGCTGAAGCTATGACCATTCGGAGAGTGAGGCCCGAATTATGAGTGCAAAATGAGACCATTACTAACTTATTGCTACCTTAGTAAGCACTGACTCTTTCACACTTTAACTTGTTGAAAATTCATTTTACTTTATGTTTCTTTGTGTGTAACATCTGTTTCCTTGCAAATTCTTGGCATCTTTGTGTCCTTGACCTCTTTCACTTCGGTTGAATAACTTTACATGTGATTTTGTAACTGTCTGCGTTTATGCGTGAATTACCCTGAAAATTCCAAGATATTTTTCTATGTACAATACACAAAATTTTTTTGTTTCGGTCATAATTCCCTATTATAACATCTCGAATACATCGTTCCTTGCCTCCGTTTACTCGGCATGTTGTTATTCTACTCTTTTATAAAATGAACTGACTATTCATGGTTAAAGTATGTTTAGATTATTTCACAATTATTGATTATACATTTAATTGGTGGATGGTGACTAGCAGTGGAATCCAGGATGCGCATTTCGTCCTATTTGGGACTCGTCACTGGATGTACCTGCATTTCTCAGTGAATGATGATGATCCCACCGAGGTTCGAACCCAGTGCCCATAGTTTCCAACGCCAAAGCGTTATCCACTAGACCACTTGGGCCACGAGAACCACCTCTTGTGCAACGGGTCATATTGATTTAACTGAATTTTAGATTTTTCCCGTCGATTGATTGGACCGAAGTGCTCAGTCTCAGGTTGACATGTCGGCTTCTTGAGCAGATGCTTCGACGATGTCTTGGAATTTAATTAGTATTTAATTGGTGGATGGTGACTAGCAGTGGAATCCAGGATGCGCATTTCGTCCTATTTGGGACTGCTAGTCACCATCCACCAATTAAATACTAATTAAATGCCCAGACATCGTCGAAGCATCTGCTCAAGAAGCCGACATGTCAACCTGAGACCGAGCACTTCGGTCCAGTCAATCGACGGGAAAAATCTAAAATTCAATTAAATATATTCAGGCTGTTGTATGCAGTTGATGAAGATTCTATGAAATAAAATGAATTTGAAACACGTAGTTCCTTTAATGAATTTATACAAAGCAATATGAAGACGTAATTTGGCTGAAACGTGTATTGTGTATTCGTACAACACAGTTGGAACAATCTGATCACACACTAACTTGTCATAGGAATATATGTAAAATTATTAAAGTTTTGCCACAGAACTCGTTGATCTCTGCAAGTAAGAGCTGGCTTCAGAGCATATTCCTAAATGCCTTCAGAAGCAAATAGAGTCCCTACAGCCTATGAATGGTGAGAACACAGGGAGGTTGTACCTCAGAGTTTGTGGAAGCCCTAGCTAGCAATTGGGAAGTTTAAACCACCAATATGTGTTCAAAGCAACAATTCTTCATCCCACTAAACGTTTCTTAGTAAACTTTGTTTTGATACCAGCCAGGATAGGTGTACTATTACACTTCTTATTTAGTCTTGTGATCTTCATTGTTATTTTGACCTTTAATAGGTTCTTTTCTCACCTCTTAACTCTTTATTATTTTCATATATACATATATATATGTACGTTTACAAGAGGTGGTTTGTAAGGATTAGATTTGTTTTTACCAGTATGACCACGGATTGATATCAGTTAGGGAACCATTGAAAACCAGCGCTGGAGTACTGGACAGCTGTTTCATGCTAGTTTTGGGTTTCATCGGTAGTACTCACCCACTGGGGTTCGTAACCAGTTAGGATGGATGCCTTATGACGCCCATGACATTTGTTGGTGGTCGTGCTAAAAATCACCAATTAGTAGAAGTTAGAATTCATGAGCCATTGAATCGGGTCCCAGTGGCTGAATGGTATACGAGCTTGCCTTGTAACCGGAAGGTCCTGGGTTCGAATCCCAGTGGGTGCGTACTGCCGATGATTCCCGAACTAGGATGAAACAGCTGTCTGGCAGTACTCCCTGGTTTTCAATGGTTCTCTAACTGATATCAGTCCGTGATGAACTCGTAGAAACTGATAACACTAGGAGATTCTAACTTATGGCATGTAATGCTGAAGGAACACTGATACTTATTAGTTTTTGGTCGTAATGGGATTAGATTGAGTCAGCTTTATTATTCAGGCGGTAGGCAGCTGATGAAAATCTTAAAAAATAAAATGAATTCATATTATCCTGCGAAAGGAGTTCTGATTGCATTATTCAACTTTGTCAAGGGGACTTAGTTGTATGCAATAATAATGGCTTTACTCCAAACGTTACTTTTCATTTTTTTTTCCTTCACGTTCCCCAGTGGAACATAGGGCTTCAAGCGAGTGGCTTGAAGTTTCTGTAGCAGTGCTTACTTTACAGGATGGGGTTGCTAGCTTCATGCCCAACCTTTCCTCTTCACCAGCATTATTTCTGGCTTAGCGAGGAAAAAGAGTGCGTCGGCCGGGGATCGAACCCCGGACCATGTGCATGGTGGGCGAGCGTCTTAATCACTATTCCACCGATGCACATTACTTTTCACACAAATATGGAATTATTATTCAGGCGGTATGCAGCTGATGAAACAAAATGAATTTGAAACAATTATTTCCCTTAACGAATTTAGGTAAAGTAACAAGAAGACTTAATGTATGTACTGTATTTGCGCAACATATTTGGAACACGGAATTATGATCAGAATACATATATATATATATATATATGTATATGAAATTAATAGTGTGACCACACATATATAAGGAGGGCTCATCGATCTCTGTAAGTAAGGGCTGGCTTCACAGCATATTCCTAGATGGCTTCAGAAGCAAAGGGAATCCTCACAACCCATTAATTGTGAGAACAGACGACTTAGCTCCTTTACTGCTAAATATATTATAGAGGCAGGACATGAAATTGATGTTTCCACACAATTTTTTAAACCTATCTATAAATCGTGTTTGGAGGAAGGCGTATTCTAAAGATTGTGGAAGCTCTAGCTAGTAATTAGAAAGTTTAAACCACCTTTATGCGTTCAAAGCAACAATTCGTCATCATATTAAACCTTCCTTGGTTAAACTTTGTTTTGATACCAGCCAGGACAGATGTACTATTACCTCTTATTTTGTTTAATGGTCATCGTTGTTATTTTGACCTTCGATATATCCTTTTAACTTAACCTCAGTCTATTTTCTCACCTCTTAGCTCTATTAATTTTATGTATATTCTTATGAAAAGTCCGTGTGTGATCAGATTGTTCGAAATGTGTTGGGCGAATACAGTACACGATTCAGATAAATTACGTCTTCTCATTGCTGTGTATAAAATGAATTCATCTTGTCCTGCAAAAGGTGTTTTCCGTGCACTAATCAAACATCACTAATAATCCTTCTCTACCAGTAGTAATGTCACTCTGTTCAGTGTTGTGCGTTTACCTTCTTAGAGCTCACAAAATCCGATATAACATCTTCTCTGATACTATTTCACATGATAACGATCTTAGAATACCTCTCCCAAATGCGCTTATATATACCACACTTTGTAAAATGGGAAAAATCTAAGTACTGATATATAACCCCTGGGTTTCAAGGGTCAAGGTTACATATTGCTGAAGACCGGAAGATTAAGGCGAAACACCTGTCCAGTTCTCTTTAGTTTTCAATGATTCTCTAACGTGTTCTCTAGTAAAGAAGCCTATTATTTGACTTTCTTTTATCGATATTTAGACAAGACCTCTTCTTAATCATGTTCAGGAAGGCTGAAATTTGTGGGTAGTGATTGTTAGTTACCAGCTGCCCACACTGTGGAGGTTTACTTTCTTCTTGAAATATCTGAAACAGGTTGAGCATCATTGTTACGTGACTATTAAGTTCGGTGTTGTGTCTATATGGAGGCGTCACTACCGTCTACGAGCCGCCAGAAGATAGATCGAGATGTACATCTTTTCTACCACCACTGCTATCCCCAAAGCAGAAAAACAACATAGCTGACTTTCTTGTCATCTGATGGAATCAGTACTTTATAAAGGGTATTGGGTTCGCACTGTTTATATATAGTCAGACAGTACCATAAAAAATTTTGCATATATTTACGTTACGTGACAGCTGAGTTTATCTGTCTGTATGTAATTAGTAATTTTCATTTTTTTTATTGACATTACAAAATCCCTCATGAAAAGACGTCGAAAACAAGAATATATACTTCGTAAAAGCTGACTTTTAAAGTGTGCATGTGTGTATGTGTGTTTTACAGCGAAAACTCTCAAATTCATTTTACACTTCCTTCATATCTTTCTTTCTTTCTTCTTACTTTCTAAAGGTCCTAACATCTACTTATCTGTTAATCCAACAACAAATAACCCACTACCAGTTATTACCAATGTTGCTAGACGTTCCCCACTGGCGTGTAAATATAATCCACAACCTTTGAATCTGTCAACTCCTGCCGCGAATCAACAACATTCACCACATGATATAATTGAGTCTACAGCACTGACATCACCTAATCACTTGAGATATCGTCGTGCTAGATGGGCTAGTGAAATTGCCCTGAATAAACGTACCAGTGGATTATTTGAAGTGGAACCAGGGCTGATGAATTCACTGAGTAAGTGTGTTGGTTTTTATTGATATAATTTTAGTTGTTTTTTTTTTTCGCATTTCGTCTTGAGTTACGAGTCTGTTTACCTTTTGTGGAGGAGAAGTCTGTTGAGAATTCGAAAAATTAGAAGTTTATCCAATTTGTAACACTTATGCGTCATGTATAATTTTTCGATGGGGCTTATGCCTTTGTAACGATAAAATACATTGGTATTCGGTAGAAAAGTTGACGTTTACTAATGACAGTACGCAGAAACTCTCGATTGAAATTTCAGCATGTAAAAGTTGTTTGCCTTTGCTTCTTTCGGTTTCTGTGCTGTTTCCGAGGAATCTTTATTTCTCCTCTTTGAAACCTGATTTATCTCCTCACTATTCAAGATTCTTGCAGGAAATATCACTTACAATATACTATTTATAAGCTTGTGTCAGTAGCACACGTTGCACTTTCTCTTCTGTTTTACCATCTGCCTTACAAACTTTGCTAAGTAAGCTACTTACGTAATCTGATTCCTGTGTGCTTAATTATTTTCTTTTCCTTCACGTTCCCCAGTGGAACATAGGGCTCCAAACTAGCGGCTTGAAGTTTCTTTAGCAGTGTTTTATTTTTACAAAATAGGGTCGCTAGCCTCATACCCAACCTTTCCTTTTTACCAGCATTATTTCTGACTCAACGAGGTAAAGGAGTGCGTCGGTCGGGGATCGAACCCCGGACCATGTGCATGGTCGGCGAGCGTCCTAACCGCTATACCACCGACGCACGTGTGCTTAATTAATTCCTCTAATGCAATGGTATTGACGAAATCAACGTAGTGCTTACTGCAAGTCTTCTGAAGAGTGAAAAAAAGTAGGTTTTACACATGTTTATTTCAATCGAATTTGCAATCTGCGTCGGTGGTATAGCGGTTTTACGCTGGCCGAACATGCAGGTGGTTCGGGGTTCGATCCCCGGCCGACGCACCCCTTTACCTCGCTGAGCCAGAAATAATGCTGGTAAAGAGGAAAGGTTGGGCATGAGGCTAGCAATTCATCCTGTAAAGTAAACACTGCTACAGAAACTTCAAGCCTCTAGCTTGAAGCCCTATGTTCCACTGGGGAACGTGAAGGAAAAAAACACATGTTTATTTCAATCGAATTCGCAATCTGCAATTTACACAGTTCGGTCGACCAGTTGTATTGCATAGCTTGCTTTGATGATTACCATTTATGTTATCAAGCAGATCACAAATTGTGGTGATCTAAATAATTTTGCTTTCCAAATAAAAATCGTGGTAGTTATTTCACCCTTTCTTGAACTGTGTAAATTGCATATTGTGAATTCGATTTAAAGTGTTACCGTCAGTTCATCCAAGTAGCTAACCAAGAATTGAGTGGTTTAAACTGATGCCAGCCATCTCTATGAACTGAGTCAAACTGTGTATGCACATTAAATTTAGGTAATATTGTAAAATAAATGCTTGACAAATAAAATATTAAGCCGCATCATCCTTGAGAGAATCAAACAAGCCCTGGATGGAGAACTTCGACTGGAAAAGGCTGGATTCAGGAGGAATTAGTCATGCATTGATCAAATTGCAACACTACGGATCATCATTGAACAGAGCTTGGAATGACAGTCAGCTCTCTACGTCACTCAACTTCATTGACTTTGAAAAGGTCTTCAGCAGAAAGCGTCGATCGAGAGGTGATTTGACAACTACTTCGCTACTATGGGGTGCCGCTAACAATTATATATCTCACCCGACAGTTGTACGACAATGCTGCATGCCAAGTAATCCACAACGGTAAACTCACGGAATCCTTCGAAGTGAAGACGGGAGTAAGACAAGGCTGCTTACTATCTCCAATGATTTTCCTGATTGCGGTAGACTGAATAATGAGACAGACAGCGGGCAGCGAGGAAACAGGCATAAAATGGACCCACACAAAAAAACTTGGAGGATTTGGACTTCGCCGATGATATATGTCTGATTTCCCACAAACTGGAAGATTTGCAAGTGAAAAACCGAAGAAGCATCAAAGATAGGACTTCAGGTGAACATAGAGAAAACAGAGGTGATCAAAATTCCTGGACAACACCGACAGCAACAACAACAACAGACAACAATCAGCATAAATGGAAGGAACCTGAAAGAAACAACCTCTTTTACCTACCTGGGAAGCGTCGTTTCAACTACAGACGGAAATGACGAGGATATCAAAGCGAGGATCGGGAAAGCAAGACAAGCTTTCACTACTCTCAAGTCTGTGTGGAGATCAAAATTACTCAGCATGAAAAATAAGATGCAGATTTTCAACTGCAGTGTGAGGTCGGTGCTACTATACGAATCAGACACGGCGCGTCATAAAGAGCGCTTCGAACAAACTACAGACCTTCATCAACAGCTATCTTCGCTCAAACCACTCAAGATCAGGTGGCCGGCCAGAAAAGATGAGCAACAGAGATCTCTGGGAGCGAACCAACCAGGAACCAACTATGCAACAAATATGCAGGAAGAAATAGAGGTGGATTGTTCATACTCTGAGACAACAAACTATCAAGTGACATAGCACACCAGGCCATTGTTTGAGTGGAACCCGAACGGGAAGCGGTGACTTGGTCGGCAGTGTGAGGGTGACATGGAGGAGGTCATGTTAGGAGGAGATGAAAGCATGTGGGCAGACTCGGAGCCAGGTGAAGACGTTGGTAGAGAACCGAACGCAATGGAGACGTGTGGCTGAAGTCCTATATTCCTCAAGGAACTAAAGAAGAAAATGATAATGATAAATGCTCGACAAATAACTGAACTCGTCAGTTAAAAATTTTCCTTTTTTTTCCCCGAGAGGAGCACAATGCTGCAGCAAACTCTGAATTTTCAGTCGAGTTGGTGTTATAAGTTTGCAGGTTGGGGTTTAAATAGCCTTACGCCCAACCTTCCTTCTTTTCCAGACCTACTATTGTCTATGCGAGGTTTTGCAGTGAGCCAGCTGGGAGTCGAACATGGACCTCCCAGCCACGTGGGTGCTCCTTGGACGAGGTTCACCCGCTTGTGATAATCAGTATATATGTGTTACAACCTATCTTAATCAATACGTTCTCACCAATCAAGGACGTGGTCTTGAGTTCGATTATCTGCTGACGCGTTCATACACCTTATCTAGTTTACTAGACGATAGTAACTCTAGAAAACAGTGCGGGTTGAATGGAAGACTGATAGATTCATCCCGTAAAAAGAAGTAATACCAATGCTACTAAATCTCCCAAACTCGAAGCCCTATGTTCTAATCGGAACTCAAATTATACAGAGTGAGGGGGAAATTGAAGTCGGTGTTTTTTTGGAAACTCAAAATATTCACATCTCAATATATTATGTTCTTGATATCATGATTGGCAATAAAGACAGGAATCAGAATAGGAAGATGATATGTACCATTGATTGATATAAATAATTGAAACCGACCCATACCAACCAGAAGTGTTACGTATGCTTAGTCATCGCCTTCCTCGACAACCGGCGATGTTAGCTGACATAGGATCAGGTTGGGAAATATTTAGTGATGGTCAAACGAAAACATGGCTTCATCAGTCAATGAAATTCACAACAGTTAGATTAAGCAAGCCACGTAGGAAGGTGTAGACTGGCTTTCTGGTTGGGGTCCTCGGGACGGTAAAAACCAATGGCTAGAAACAATCGGTGATGTGGCTCAAAGTGATCGTTCTCAATGGCTGGCGCAGATCCATCCACTCCTTGTGACTTATAATTTCCAAAGAAACTATATTGTTCTTCGTTATTACTATTCCTTTGTCTCACGCCTATGTTTACTGTCTCTAACATGCATTTCTTCTACTTTCTTCTCTTCCTTTGTGTGCTACATGGAGTGTGGCGACTTGAACTGCTGCACATATGTGCAAAGTTCTATGTCGAAAACAGATAGACAGACCAACCAGAAGTGCTTGCTAGTCGTTCTTAGTGGAGCACATCAGCAGTGTAACTGGACGCATTCACTTCAGATAACCAGATCGTCCGAATTTCAGTTAGCTATGTGGGCTGACTGGCAGTGCGTGGGTTTAAATTCATCGTTCTCAAATAACACTGTTTGGGGTAGAATTCTATCACGGTTTTATGTGGTCATCCTACCTGAGTTTATCCAGTCACATTTCACTCAAAACATTATCGGGTGTTTAACTCAACTAGATCTAACCAGCAAGCACTACTTGTCGGTGTGAGTGATATTCAACTAATTACATCAATCACTGGCATCTATCATCTTACTATTTCGGTTGATAAGAAGCCTTTGAAAATGTATGTCATGGTAAAATTTGATGTATTTATCTAATTTTCTATAGTTGGTTTGTAAGGATTAGTTTGGTTTTTTACGTTTTTCCACGCTGATCGTCTTTGTAACGTCGCCTTCTTAACTTCTCCCTGATACTGTCCTTTATTAAGTGAGACTATTCAATTGTTTCTCTGTTTCCGCAAATGTTTTAAAAGCAGTTTAACTTCTGATTGTTGTTTCAGCTATCGAATTCTGTGGATACTGAAAAACAGCTTCAGTTTACTGTTTACAAACCAGTAAATAGTTTTTTTTATGTGTCTCGCCTTGTGATGTCTGTAAAAATAGCCAGTCTAACGCATATCACTGAAAGATGGTTATAATATTTATTTTTCGAGCTGTGATAAAAGTCAATTTTTATATTCGGCATCAGTTTTCAGCCATTGTCACGTGCCTAAATATCCCGAGTTGCACAATTAATGCTATCAATCAAAATTTCACACTTCGATAATAAAAAGACGAATCCGAATGGCGTAAACACATTCTTATTATAGGAGGAATGAATGTTTATTGAAGCGAGTAGAGTGTTTCACAGGATTTCATTATTTCAAATAGTCGAATTTTATTATAAAACAAAAAAGGTTAGATAAAACGATAGTAAAATGAACAAATAATATAGTCGAGAACAGGTTTACAAAGATCGAAATTCTTTGCTGATTAATAAAGGGGAAAGTATTGTGGGCTAATAGAAGTGTG